ATGTCTTTTATAAAATCATATAGTACATGCAACAGTTTTAGAGAAACAAAGTTTTTCTATTTTTACTAATTTGCATATATGCTAATAAATACCCAATTGGTCTTGTGTTTTTTCTCATAGTTTTATCTCTTGGCTGATAAGAAGTAGAGATGGACACATTGTTGGACTGCAATATACTTTTCTACAGTGTTCCACTTTTGAAATATTTTTATTAGTTTGATCATCTTTAGTTTTTTTTTTCTGTGATATATATGTCTTCATAGACAGTAACTTCTAACAACTGTTTACATGCCGAGTACTGAAGATATTTTATAATCATTTTATGTTACTTCTCTGATTACTACTATGGTGTATTTTCTAGAGTGGAAGAACAAAAGATGAAATCACTTGGCTTCTGTCACATTTCTTCAAATTAGAAGACACCTTTTTTCTCAGTTTATCTATAGTCAATTACCAATACACATTTACTAATGTTAGCATTTATTGTATGCCATTAAGCAATTAGTTGAGTGATGGATTATGAAAGTTCATTCATACTTCCAGACAATAGTGAAGTCAGAATTTCCATGTTTAGGGAGCTTGGGTGCTAATGGTCGGGATTGGTTTGTGTTAGCTAAAAAGTATTCTTAAATTTTGTTTTCTTGTACTAAGAATAGGTAGGTCTAAGGTTACTTGCTGAACACTTGATTACCTAATGTCTTCTATCTTACTTAGCCTAGAGTCACTTGCAACACAGAGGCAGGGAAAGTCTCAGTTGTGTAGGTTGGAAAAAGAAAATGATTTTAAGCCAGGCTATAGGGGCATTATGACCTATGCCTGAGAGCTTCAGAAAATTCATTCTAGAGGAAGCTCCATACCAGAATGGGAGAACACTTGTATAGCCCTGACCAGAGGGACAGTGAAGAATTCAGACCACTTGCCATCATCTAGCATCAAGATACCAGCATTGATCGGATGGCTGACCCCCAAGCAGTGGGATTGGGACCTGTCCCTAGTGCATGAGCTGGCTTTTTGGAGCCTAATGCCTATGGTGAAACACTTTGTGCAGCCTTGGTGCAGGGAGGAGGGGCTTGGACCTGCCTCAGTTGAATGTACCAGGCTTTGCTGACTCCCCATGGGAGACCTTGACTTGGAGGAGGTGGGAATGAGGGATGGGTTTGGGGGAATGCTGAGGGGCAGGAGGAGGGAGGACAGGGGAATCTGTGGTTAGTATGTAAAATGAATAGAAAATCTCTTAACGGAAAAAAAAATAAAGATACCAGCATTCTCAGTGAGCCTGTTTAAAATCTAACTCCGCTGCCCATTTCAGCCTTCCAGATGAGAGTGACTCATGATAGGGTGTTGTCTAGGAGACTTCCATGCCTGCTGACACCACATAACACTTTGGTAGACAGCTGTCTTCAACCCTCTCAACCACATTAATGCCACACAATTCATTAAGAGGCTGCAGTCCGGGACCTGCCCAGCCGTACCAGTGCTACTCAGTACATTTTTTTTTTTTCTAAACCAGTAAGTTAGACATTTTTGGAAATGACCACGATATCGCCTCTGTATTTTGTATGCTTCCTGGGAGGTGATGCTAGGTATCATGTGGTTTTCAATACTTTTCACAGAGCAACAGCTCTCACCTCATTTGGGATATATCACAGGCACTTAATTGCCAGTAGTAAACTTTCTCTCCTGCTTAAATTAGTTCTTATTTTAAAATTTCTGTGAACACTAAGCTGACATTATACAGTGGTCAGTGATGGGCTCTTATTCAGTGTCTGAAAGCCTACATTAGACAGTCGATAACTTACACTCTCTCATGGACACCTCTCTTGGCTTGCACAGACTGTTCTTTTCCAGGGTCCACCTTATACCTCACAGAACCATCTGTTGTATAATCTTAAGGCGTCTGTTCTTTTTATTCTCCATTTTCTGGAATAGTTTCTTAGTGCCTGCCTATTACAACCCCCCAACCCAATAATTGGATTATCCCATCTCATCACTTTAAACCTGGGGATATCATTTCCTGGCCACTTTATGATCACCTCCTAATAAAGACACTGGACACCGTAGCCTAGTCTGCTATTATAAAACACAGGTTGTGACTCTAGCAACTGGGGAATTGCCTTCGTTCTGGGTAAAAAGAAAATTAGTTTCCTTTAAATGGGTCTTTGAATCAAGCATATGGCAGTCAGTGAACTTGACATAGCTAATATAGTTTCTAGCCTAAAAATAGCATTTAAAACAGCTCATTTCATTTCCCATATGTACATACAAAGAAATGTCTCATTCTATAATGCTAACCCTACAGATTTTTAGATACATTAAATTTTTATCTTAAGCTTGTCTTTTTACATTTACTTGCTAATGGAAATGTTAAGTCATTTTCTTAAATCTAAAAAGAAAGCAGACAATAAGACATTTAGCTTAAATGTTATGCTCACATGAATGCACTTTATCAAAAAAAATGTCTTGCAGTGTTAAAAACTGTAGGCTTTCAGACAAGGAGAAAGGCAAGGAACAGACATGCTGAGGTGAAACCCAGATAGCATATGCAGGCATGGACAAGGGAAGCAGCTGTTCTGCACTGTGTTATGTCATTAACTGTCTTACTACTGTTGCTTTTATAATATTCCAACTCTGCAAATGCACTTCCTCATAGAGCATATCAGTATGAGACTAATCACTTTAAAGAGACTCAGGGGCTCACCGGGCGGTGGTGGTGTATGTCTTTAATCACAATACTCTGGAGGCAGAGCCGGGTGAATCTCTGTGAGTTTGAGGCCAGCCAGGTCTATAAAGTGAGATGCAGAAGAAGCACCAAAACTACACAGAGAAACCCTGTCTCAAAAAAAGAGAATCCCAGGCTCATAATATATAAAGTACAGTAAATCAGTAAAATAATTAATAATAGAGTATTAAGTTATCAAGGTCTTATTGATCTGAATTTTCAATTGAATGTGTTTATTATCTTCTGAAACAATCTTATTTACTAAGTATTGAACTGTGAGGTCTACAATTTTAAAAAGCTTATTGTCCAATGGATGAGAACTGATAACTTTTATGTCATGTTACAGAATAATTTAAGTCTTTCATCAGGTTATGTGACTATTTTACTTAATCTAAACTCTCATTTACAGACAGGGTATCTATAGGTAATATAATAAGACTATATTAAAACGAAACAAACAAATCACTCACTAAGAATATGCTAGGTGAAGAACTCTGGTAGGAGCTTCAGGAAGACATAATATTGGGTGTAAGAGTTGGTACCTCCTGGGAGTCCGTACATGCTGGCGTGGTGGCTTCGACGGTAAGACCATCTGCTGCTCTTTCAGGTCCCGTATCAGGCAGAACACAATCATGTCTAACATTTCTACATTTTAAATGGTAGAAATTCATACCTGAAACTTACAAAAAGGTACTATCTGAAGGCCAGATTAGATATGTTAATGTGGATGAATAAGCATGCTGCAAATTTTTATTTCTGTATTACATAGTCATGAATGGATCGCAAACATTGTTGTCTACTTATGTATATTTCATATGAATTTTGGCAAAAAGCAATGGAAAGATGTGAAAGGAAGAGACCTTGATTATTTGACCAGAGTAATTAGAGTCCAAGTGATTTATTTTTTGTTTTTGTACACATTGTGGTATTAATCACAGGATGCGGGTACTAAGTGGCTGCTGTGCCAGTGTTCTGTACTTCTAATTCCTGCTATGTGCATTTTAAAGTTCTGTAATATCTGAACAGATTCTATCTATATCATATTCACTGTCCCAGTCTTAAAAACAAGTGTACATTTAATAAGCACAGTACATGATGTGTCCACATTTTGTATAACAGGGAGTCACCAATATGCTATAGTGTTCAGGCATGAACGACATAATGTGTCTTCTAGTCCTTTCAGAAGAAGAATATGAATTTGTCATCATTTATTTTGTATCTTCCCACATAACTGCCCTGATCGACTCACTTTATTTGTATTCTTATTGAATGCTTGTGACTTAACATAGCTCCCATTTCTTGTAGAAATTTTTAGCTAAACAATGTAACTTATACTTGTAATACTAACATGCAAGTATCCAAGGCAGGCAGACTGCAGAGCATTTGTGACCAGCCTGGGCTACCTGATCAGTTTCAGGCCAGTCAAGGCTATAATATGAGACACTGATTCAATAAAACAAACAAGACAAAACTGTGTAGTTTTGGCTCCACACTTACGTTGACTTATTTTAAGAAAAATGAGTGTCAACACCCAGAGAATAATTATTTTTGTAAGCAATTTCTGTTACTTAACTATTCTTTTAATTTATATTGTATTTTTTTCACAAAATTGTAAAGACTGTTACCTTTGAATTTTAAAAAGGCAAATGGCATTTACCATTACTGCTGTTCTAATTTTTAAATGTCTATTGGTTTATTCTCTATTTAGTATTTAATAAACCTATCTTCACAGATTTTCAGTGTGTCCCGAAATCAGCAAAGTACTTTTACATGTGTTATCGGTATGTCTGGTTTGAAACAATGAATGAATGTACTACATAAAAATAAGTGCAAACTATGTTCAGGATCCCTTATTTTCTAGAATGATGCTTCATTACAGGTAGTTCCCATTGTGGGAGAATATTACATATTGTAAAAACAGGGAAAATTATAACTTTTTTATTGGTGACTTAAAATTGTCAACTAATTCAATAGTTTTAACTACCAATATTTGTTCTAAATGTGTATATAAAAACTAACTGAACTATCCTCTGTTAGGGATGTAAAAATGTTCTTAGTCTGTTACTAAGTCTTTGTTCCAAAAACTAGGCTATTTCAAAAATGTGCACCCATTCACACCTTCACTACTTGCTGAGCTGTGGAGGCCTTTCAAGTACACCTCAGCACGTACAGATGCCTCCTTTTCTAGATTTTGACCTCGATAGTAGTTATTCTTATCACTAGTCAACTAACTTTTCCTGACTGGTTTTTCTCTTCTCTTTCTTTTTTTGACATGCTGCAGTAGCTAACATATTATGGAGAGAAGAAGGTACCAAATTAAATTATATTTTATATTGTTGTGATTTCTTGACTTGATTTGACTATATTTGCAAACTCATTTGTTTCAATATTTGGCTTATTTTCACTTTGACTCGAGATTTCATTTGATTTTACTACAATTTTCTAGTATAAACCTGGTGCTATAAAAATACTTATCACTTGAATAGGACATCAAATAGCTCAGTGGGTAAAGGCCCTTGAAACCAAACCTGAAAACATGAATTTGATCCTGGGACACATGGGGTAAAAGGAGAGAACCCATTTCTTTTTTTTTTCTTTATTAAGAAATTGTTTATTCATTTTACATACCAACCACAGATCCCCCTCTCTTCCCTCCTCCCGACCCCTCACCAGCCTTCCCCCCAGCCCACCCTTTATTTCCTCCTCTGAAAAGGTAAGGCCTCACATGGGGAGTCTGCAAAGCCTGGTAACAACTTCTATAAGTTGTTCTTGTGCCTTCTTTTGCATGCTTTGCCTTACACACATACAGGCAAGCACACACACACACACACACACACACACACACACACACACACACACACATACAGGCAAGCACACACACACACACACACACACATACAGGCAAGCACACACACACACACACACACACACACACACACACACACACACACACACATACAGGCAAGCACACACACACACACACACACACCTAAGTGAATGTAAAACATAGTAATTATTACTTCACTACACGTCACTTTGATGCATTAAAATAGTCAAAACCTTCCATTATAACATTTTTAAGTGGTTTTCAAAGTTTAAAAGTAGGTCAAAATAGTAAAAGCCATTGAAATTACTATACTTTCCATAGTATAAGAATAATTATACAACTGTCTTATGAAATGATTATATTTTTTAGAAAAATTAGTTACTAAGTTGAAGCATAATTCAAATAGTTTCATTATAGAACACAGGCTTGCCACTTTGTATCAGTCTTCATATTTATTTCTAAAATAAGTATAGCTCTTATGAATACTCAGGAGGGCTGCTCTTGGCTTTTTAATAGTAGACAGCATTGAAAAAATGTTATACAATATAATTCAGGAACACGATTTTTGTTGTCCTCTTCGCTAGTCAAAAAGACTGAGGAAAATGGCCTTCTCACTTCTCTTGCCAAAGAGAAGGCATTCTGGCTTTCTACCTTAAGCTCTTCAAGCCTCCGTCACGGTCTTCTTTAGTAACTTATCACTGAAGCAGTTCTAACGTGACCACATCACCTTTTTACTCCACTTGAATATTTCACCTTCAAATGCACATAGCTCATTTATGCTGAAACCTGCCTTGACATACCTTTCAGTATTTCTTTATACCATATATCCTCTTAAGAGCAAAACCTACTTCTCTGACCATTAAAATATATATTTCAATTTATCATTACGATGGAGAGTACAACTTCTGCTGAGCAGGAGATCAGGGATCACAGACCTGGTTCTAGTAGTTGACTGCTGGACAAATTAAATGAACTGTTTTATCACTTAACTACTCACAGCACTCCTCCACACATGCTGAGCACTCCCTCTTCAAGTCTGTGATATGGGAATCAACCTAAAGTATATGAAAAAGTCCATATGGTTTAACTTTTATAAATGATAGAATTATTAATTTATAATAACCAATTCACAATCGTTATGTAATATTAGTATCATAATTGTCCACCCACTGGCTCATCTCAGACAGACATTGAAAGGGACAGTAATGTAAATAATTCTGGCTGATGCGTTGGTATTGAGATGGTACCTGTAAAGTGCCTGTAAAGTCAGGATGCCATCATTTCCACAAGTCTTTACAGCAAAAAAAAAAAAAAAAAAAAAAAAGAAAAGAAAAGAAACAACAAGCAAGATATATTTTCTGTTATTTTTGGGACTGAACCCAGGGCTTTGTATATAAGCAAGTGTTACTTTAGTAAGCATAACACAAAGACATTATTTTCATGCATTAATATGATTGTTTCCAGTGTCTGAAGACATATTTAGCTGCAAAACTATAATACAAATAATGGTAACATTTGAAAACACAAAAGAAAATGTCCTAGTCAAGGCTAGAAATGTCCATATTAAAGTTTTAGCTAAAAATGAGATTTTGTTTGTAACATGTGAATGTATACTGAAAGTTTTGCATATATAATATATATGTATGCAAATATATATTAATAGCCACAGAAAAATGGAAAGACAGTATTAATTAAGTAAATATTTTGTAACTTTTTAAATCCACTGATACACCTTTGATTAGCAAATCATCATAGAATTTTAAGTTGCTACTGATCATATTATATATACTAAGGCCATTTGACAGGTTAATCCAAAAAAAGTATTTTTACAAGATTCTTTTTTGTTGTTGTTGGCACAAACATTTTTTTATTAAGAGATTTTCTATTCATTTTGCATATCAACCACGGATTCCCCTGTCCCCCCTCCTCCCACCCCCAGCCTTCTCTCCCAAACCACCCCCCATTCCCACCTCCTCCAAGCCAAGGTCTCCCCTGGGGAGTCAGGAGAGCCTAGTACATTCAGTAGAGGCAGGTCCAATATCTTTGGGCGGCTTTTTTGACCTTTTTTTTTTTTTTTTTTTTTTTTTTTTTTTTTTACCTCGGGCAGCTTCCTTTTGCTGGCTGTGTGTGTTGCCTGTCAGGTGTCCCCACCTCACGGTTGTTGTCGCCTGTGTTTTACCTGGTGGTGGGATGGTTGAGGGCCCTGTTGGCTTTTTGAAGAAAGGCTCTGTATTTGGGCACAAACATTGGCTTAAATATGCACCCAATATCTAGAAATGACTCAAGTTGTATTGGAACAAATTTCATAATGTATGTATTGTTTATAATTAATATCAGAGTTAACAGGATATAAAATAACTCTATTGGTGTCCTGTCCCCAGGGATTAGATACAAGTACACACTGCAACCATAGTCCTTCAGTGCATTAATATTGTATTAAATGTTCAGTATAGATCAGAAATACATTCTACTCATTAGAGGGCATATAATTATTTCTGTGCCTTCTATACACTCTGTATAGAAAGAAAACAGAATACAAAGGAGTTAAGGTAAGCATGAACTAATTTATAGATTAACAGCTAGATTAACAATTGATTTGGGAAAGATATGATTCATGTGTATGTCTCCACCAACACATGGAAAATGAAAAACAAAAAAGAGATATTAGAACTAGCATGGCAGAAGCTTTCACTGAATTCCAGGGTGTTTGTAATGTGTTGCAGCATTGGACACCCAATAAAATTCAGTGTAGTTAAAAACTATAGGACTAATTATTCCTTATTCTGAGAATCAGGACCCCTCTGCCTTTGCAGCACTACATATTGTTTACAAATGTTATTTCTCATATGGATGTATGTATTAGAACTTGAAAAAACACTGAGTATGTAGAGGCTAACTTGTTTGAGTACTTATGAGGTCAGGGAGAGCTTTGCTTTGGAGCAGGTTCTTAGCATGAAAAATGCCCTGGGTTCAGTCCTAGTTGTAAAAGAAAGCCAAAATGTTACCTAAAGAATACAACACTGTTTTAAATATTGTGTTTTCAAAAGTAATTAGTAGACTTGAATTGTTTAGCATTTTTTTCAAACTTTTTTTTTATGATGGGCTTAGTAGCAGGTACTGGCTTACTTACCTGTTTATGAATTGAGTGTTAAAGATGCAAACGACATCACATCTTTTAGCCTTCAAGAACAACACACTGTCTTTGTAGAAGATTGAGCTAGAAAATGTGAATGACATTTTACTATACATGAATATGAACAGGTAGCTCTTGGGGAAATCTGGGAGGACAAAGTATGAGAAATGTTCTACTCTAAAATCAAATTAAAATTTTAGTAGGTTCATGAATTCTTGGGAAAGAAGATATAAAATTGGATATAGTAGAGAAGACAGAAGTTTAACACAGAACGAGGAACCCAATTAGGTTTGAGGAAAAATGAATACAGTGATGAACTGACTTCTTACCTGCATTGTACATCCTTTCCATGAGATATAGCATCATTAAATTCTCAACATTCACTGCTTCTTAAAATCTTATTGTGTGCCAATCATTCTTTTAATTCTGTACCCCTCAATATCATTTAATTCTCATAATAGCTGTGCCATACACTTCTTACCTCTAAATCTAATATGGGCTATGATCTCACAATTATAATTCTGTGCCCAAAAGTAAGTGTTTTCAGGATGATTTCATAAACACCAAGGGATTATTTTTCTACTGAAGAAACTTAAAATGAAGAAAACAGAGTAAACCTCAGATAAAGATATTTATTTATATTTTTACTTGTGACTGGTGTACTGGGATATGTTTTATGATTTATAAAATTACTAGTGTGAATTCATATTTTATATATAAGAAACACAGTTGCAGCCTTACATGTGTGATTTGGATAAATTAGGTGTTTTAAAGGACACTTCAACTCAGAAATTGAATCAGTTCAGTAACTCAGAATGGGATCCCACTGAGTATGTTATGTGAAAAACAGGATAAAAAAAGAAAACCGTAATGGAAGTATAAAGAGAGGTGAGGGATGAAAATAGTTCAAGAAAATCAGCAGATATCTGGATGATAACTAATTGTCCATTCCACATGTGTTCTAATTCATGATGGCAGTCATCAGGAGCAGCTCAAGGTAGACGGCTACTCACTCAAAATTGAGAAGAGCATAATAAGAAACATGAAGTACATTAGAGGTTTCTGCACAATTCAGACAGACACCACAGTGTGACTTGTTTATGTTGGATTGTTAAGTTTCAACAGCAATATACAGGAACCAATAATATTAAATTGATGGTTACTAATGTATAACATATATAAATCCAGTTAGTGTTTACATGTAGGCTTTACTAACACAAATAAAAAGTAGCAATCTTTTTAAGCTTTGTTATGTGTATGTGAAATTTATATTATGTTACACACAGGTATATATATATATATATATATATATATATATATATATATATATATGAAAATAATGTCTTTGTGTTATGCTTACTAAAGTAACACTTGCTTATATACAAAGCCATGGGTTCAGTCCCAAAAATAACAGAAAATATATCTTGCTTATTGTTTCATTTTTTGCTGTAAAGACTTTTGGGAATGATGGTGTCCTGACTTTTACAGGCACTAATAGTACAGAAATGTGTACCATCTCACTACCAATGCATCAGCCAGAATTATTTACATTACTGTTCCTTTCAATGTGTGTCTGAGATGAGCCACTGTGTGGATAATTATGATACTAATATATACATTATATATATATATACACATTATATATATAGCTTAAAGCTGACAATGAATGAATTCTTTCTTATGGAATTTTTTATGACAAATATGGCTTGTATGTAGGTCTTGTCATATCTGCTACTGTTCAGGAATATCTTCTCTTAATGTGGTATTCTTTGATAATACAATTAACAGATCATTGTTGAACTAATCTATAGTCGTTTCAATCCATATGAGTTGCTGCATGTTGTAAATCCATGTGCTATAAGAAAAAACATACTATGCAAAAAGAACATAAAGTCAGAATTAATCTTTGAATATATTTCTCTTTCAATAATGAAAATAGAGAGATATGATTCTATACATCTAAAATGTATGACTTTATATTTAGTAGCAGATTTACAAGATTAAATATCATTTAAATTCCATGGGCAAGTATTTGTATAAATGATGAAATTTATTTTGTTCCTCTGTGGCTACAAAGCCTGATAGTGGACTTAGAAGACTAGCAGTGGTCTCAATGGAAAAACATGAAAATTCTTAGTCAATTTTTGCTGATAAAATTTAAATGAATTACTTTAGACCTTATGGGTATTTTGAGAACTTAAGCATTTTAACCAACAATTGACTTTTCAACTTATCAAGATTTAAGTATCATGCCTCATCCTTCTAAGATCACGCACTGTGTAAGATATAAGTTGGCTGAATAAATTAGAAGCAAACAATATAATTAGAAAAATAAACTGACCACCCAGTTTAGAAAAGGAAGATCCAAGGGGTTAGATCTGAGTATAGTGAATATAAGCAGAGGCTGAATCCACAGAGAATAGACTGCATGAGTATTGGCAGCCTGTAGCAGGTGTGTAGGCTCCCAGGACAGGTGTGGATAAGCATGCTGGTACCCAGAACTAGTGTTTACTCTCTCAGAACAGATAAGCATGTACACATGGGTGACCAGACAGATTTGTAGACTCCCAGGCATGCAGAAATGAATATGTAAGAGCTACAAGTCAGGTTTGTATGTGGTCAGGACAGATATACATGAGTACATAGTATCCCTAGACAGATGTATAATCCCCATGGACAGGTGTAAATGAGGATATGGACGCTTCCAGATAGAAGTGTATACTTCCAATACAGATGCTCATCAATATGGGGGGCCCATACTACATGTATGTATTTTCTCAGGACAAATGATAATTTGTTTGTACAGGTGTGTAGATTTCCAAATAGGTGTGCATGAGGATATGGGAGATCCAGGTGGGTAAACACTCTCCAAGGGCAAGTGTTTCTTAAGTTGTGGTAAGAGCTTCAGGGCTTAGATTTCAGCAAACCTCACCCACCTATCAAGTGGCATCCTTTCACCTTCCTGTGCCTCTTGCCGTGGATTTATGAAAGAGTGGACAATTTTATATGTAATGCCTTCAGATCTGTAATAGGCAACAGTTAAAATACTTAGTTAAAAATTTACAGATTCTTATAAAAATTTAGTTTATTTCAGAGTAGAGAAAGAGACTTTTAAAACTATGAATTTAAAAAAAATAAACACTGATAATTAAGATCTGGGTGTAGAATGTTTGACAGTCTATATTCTCCAAAATTTTGTACATTTGGTCTTTTTCATTTCTAAAAGTCTTTATACACAGTGACCTCCCAAATGAGTGAAATTTCTTTCTTTCTTGGGGAACTATGATAAATACTACAATGGAATTTATTCTTCATCAGTGATTTTTACCCCTTAACTAATACCCACAATAATTAGGGTAGTATTCCATTATAATCTCTGTGTCAAAGAGTTCATAACTTCGTTTGTGCTTGTTTGGAGACCAGTGAACCATGCACTGATTTCTACAAAGGGATCCACCTCACTGCAGGTCAGGAAGACCAGGAAAATGCCTGTGTTGTCTCCTGCAGAGACGTCCCTGTAGTTTGTTTTATTAGCATTATGTAACATCTTCAATATAGCATTGCTGGGGAGATAATAGGCGCTCAGGTTTTGTTGTAAAGGTTTCTGATAATTCTATTTTGAACTTTTGAAATGTGTTTTATTCCTAAGGTCTTGGAATTGGGAACATGTTCTACGTTTTTTATGAAGATGGAATCAAAGTGATACAACCCACAGAATGTGAATTTCAGAGGCACATTAAGCCTAGTGAAAAGCTCCTTGGATTTCAGGCAAGTATCTGAAAAGTTCCTTTACAGTTTTATGAGAAAAACTTTTATAAAGTAAAATTATGCTTTAGAAAAACAATGAAGTGTATAACTCTGTGAAACTTGTAAGGGAAGACAATTCTAAATTCGTGATGCTGTCTGTGGTTTCACGAAGGTTTGAGAAGGAAAATAATATATTTTACAATTTTAATACTTGTGTTATAATGAAAGTGATAAGGATGAAATTTTAACAATAAACACAACATTCAATAACTTTCTTAGGCTATATAATTTAGACCATCTCCAGGTTTTTAGGACATCATGTCTTTAACAAAGTAAAAGAAAACTGAGGATAATTTTTAGAATGTATGTATTTTGGATATTAAACTTATTATCCCTATCTTCTCCCATACAAATTTAGACTTATGCTAAAAACTCAAAATGTGATTATTTAAAATATAATGAACATACTTTCAGACAACATTCAAAATTGTTTCCTAATTCCCATATTTAAAGTTGACAAGGCCATGTGACTAACAAAGACATTTAAGATTGTGATTTAGAACTTCATTTTATATCTTTATCCAGTCCATTAGAGGCTGGTAGTGGAAAGCTATATAAGATGACAATGTTTCATTAGGGACATCTGTCACTCTGTGTCTGTCTCTGTGCTTGCATCTCTCTTTCTTTGTATCTCCCTGTCTCTCTCTTCCTCTTCCCTTCTCTCACTCCCTCCCCCTCCCTTCCTCATCCTCCCTTCCTTCATTCCCTTCCTTAATCCCTCTTCCTCCCATCCCTCCTTCTACTCCCCTCCTCTCTCTGTTTATCTACACATACATGAATTTTAAAACATTGACTCAGAATTGTGGGCTAAGGTGTGAAGTCCAATGACAGTAGGACTGACCGACAGTAGACTATTTAGGTGAGAGAGGAATTGTCTGTTTAAGTGCTGTGGGCCAGTTCATCAGACTCGAAACTCAAATCAACCTGAATGTTGGAGTCTTGAGGATGGATTTTAGGACAGGTAGAAAACTCAGTGTAGGTTTCAATATCATAATTTTGAGATAGAATTTTGTCTCTGTTTGGGAGCATGAGTTTGGGGAAATGCTCACCATACTAGATGATGTCAGTCACCTACATAAACGCCTTCTCCTTATCTATATTGGGATTTGGCTAAGCATTTGAATACCCAGGGAGACATGGGTGGCCACTTTTGCTGTTCTCCCTTTAGTGTGTGATGAGGTGTGTATTCATGACAAGTTCAAATGCTGCTATACATAAACATGTACAAGGAGCCATAGTAAAAACAATTTAACAAAAAGGCCATTGCCATCAACCACGATGAGTCACTCAGTTTTGTTTAACTTTAAAGAGGGATACATCTCATTTCTTCCCTATTTTAACATTAATCCCTGCTTTGTAATTACACTAAACAGTGTTTCCCTTTTGTTGTTTCTCAAAACATTTCCAAGAATAATTTATCACTGAGGTTTTAGGGGATAAATATAATCTCTAGTGCCTATTAATTTGTGATGATAAGATCTGAAGTACTGTTTGGATGAGTGAAAACATCCTTTCTTTGAAATAGTGAAATTAAATCTATCTTATCTGATTTTAGAGAATAAGTCTCTTGGATATAAGTGGTAGGGGAGAAATCGTTTGGAATCATTTTTTCCTTATGAATAAAAAATAAACATTGATAAGATATTTTTCAAAGTCATTTCAACGTTAAGGTAGTAACAGTTCAGTTCCCCACACAGGGTGTGTGGATCAGTGAAGTGTAGATAAGGACTGATACACTTCAAATCTTCCATCAAATTCTTCAAAAGGTGCTGTTTGCTTGCTCTAAATAAAAATTCAATTTTGGTGCAACGTCAGTTTGCATTAGGTTTCAGACTTTGGGAGAGCACTGGCGAGGATTCGTTCAGTGAACTGTGTTATTCTTTCATCTCCTGGGTTGATTTTTGCCCTTTGTTTCGTATCTCTGATTGGCAGGACTCTTGCTTTATTTATATTAGCTCTACACAAGATTTCTTCTTGTTAGGGAGGGTATGATCTTCAAGCAAATATATTTCTCATTCAGACTTATGGATTCATATTCAAATTGAAATAAGTTTGGGGGAAATATTTAAAACTCTTTTCAGATTAATAACTTTTCACTCTCTTGGATTTCAAGGACTGTCAATCTCATCTACCACCCACATGGCCTTCAAAGGTTTTTAATTCAGTCAACCTCACACCTTACAGATAGAGCTTTCTTTGGATCCAGCTGCTGGTCTTGACTAAAAAAAGGGTACTACTCTGACCGGCTATTGGTCTAGCTGTGAGACAATGGCCCATGCATTATCATGCTTAACTAATTTAGAACATGCCCCCAAAGGCTCTTTTTCTGCATTCAGTGCAAATTTAAAGTGTTCTGAGAAGCAAAACTGAACTCACAGCCATTGGTAGCACACCTGACACGAATCTCTAAGATTCCTGCACTTTATCCGTTGAGCTTCCTCCTTTGAAAATTAATTTCCTTTGAGAAATCAACATTAGTACTTTATTAGAATACAGAGTGTATCCAGGAATAGGAGATCCACAGCCCAATACCTGGATGAGGCAAGAGTGACAGGAAGCAGCAAGCAGGAACAGCCTGTGTTTCTCCACAGGAAGCAACCAACTCACCAACTCTCCTAGTGACGATTCCAGCTTTCCTTTGCTTCGTGTCCTGTTTCTAATTCAATTACTACTTTTCGATACTAGGCACCCCAAATGCTTATTTAAACAACAGCCCCCTTAGCTGATGTGGACACACTACATCCGGGTATAGCCAGTGGGCAGCCCTCTGAGTTCCACACTACAATGCGTTCTGGAAAACACAATCAGGAGACTCCCCCACCGAGTGCTGTCTCTGTGGGGCACTGCTCAAACAGGGCTTAATTTGCAGAACTGTGGAGCGATAAGAGTTTATGCTTTTGTTCCTTTGCATGTGCGGTGACATCATGCAAAGAACTTCCTATGGAGAGTAATATAAATGCCTTCTAAATATTCCTTCAGAGATTACTCTCTAGATTTCAAAAGAAATACGTTTATGAAACTGTTCTTTGAAGTGCTAGATGTAAAGAGATCTTCTGACGTTTCTGAAAATACACACTGTTGTTACATTCTTCCTCTGTGTTTCTGTTGAACATCTGTTTGGAAGCTCCCACTAGGGTGGCTTTGGCAGAGGGTGGGGGTTTAAAGCAGGTAGCAGTGTCCTGATGGAGGTGTGCAGTTCCCTTCTGCATTAGGCACAATAAGGTTATAGAGAGACACCACATAAAGGGCTCTTGAAGGAGCTGTTGATAAAAGCAGCCAAGTTGTTTCAATCACTGTGAGCAGAATAATTAGTGCGTTCAAAGTGACTTGAATTTTTCGCTGGATTTTTTTCATGGTAGAGATGTTAAGTGATTATAAAAATATTGATACAGATATTATTAAGCATAAAAATACTTGATATTTAAAATACCATACAATTCTTACTGTATATGACTTAAATTACAGGTTTTGTAGTATTTATTGTATTTGTATAATGAAAATACAGAAGTTTATTGTTAAGAAATAAAAGTTTATTGTTGTTTATTTTTAAGAAATAATGATTTGTTCCACCATGTCTCCTGATGTCCACTCTACACTTTATATATTAAACTAAACAATTTTTTGTCCTTGGCACATAATATATTTTGAACTATCACTATTAAATATTTTATGTGGGTATGTTTTTGACAACTAATCATTTTAGACAAACAATCCCCATTTTCATTTTTAAAGTGTACTGAAAACCACCCGGCGATTTATTTATTTTTAAATTTTTGTTGAATCATTTTAGGCAACTATCATGGACTTGTCAACACTTTAATAATGCAGTCAATCTTTCCCAGAGCTTGCTAGGCTATAGTACAGCTGTGCCATCAGCTACCCTGTTCATTTATCTCTAAAGTTTAATATGCATAATAATTACAGTAGATACTGTTCTCTTATGTAAATGCACATGCACAAAGCAGCATGTTATATAACACCGATAGACACACAAACTTCTGTTTCAGTCCTACCTGTCAAAAATTATTTCCTGCCGAGCGGTGGTGGAACATGCCTTTAATCCCAGCACTCAGGAAGCAGAGACAGGCGGATCTCTGTGAGTTCGAGGCAAGCCTGGTCTACAGAGTAAGTTCCAGGAAAGGCGCAAAGCTACACAGAGAAACCCCGTATCAAAAAACATACATATATATATATATATATATATATGTGTGTGTGTGTGTGTGTGTGTGTGTGTGTGTGTGTGTGTGTGTTATATACATATAAATTTATATATATATATATATGAAATATATATAAATAAAATGGTATGGTATATATTCTTCAGCACAATACGGTGTTTCAATACGTGTAGTCATTTCATATTTTTTGTATCAGATAAGATATATATGATTTCAGATAAGTTTTTTTTTGTGGAGAAAAACAGTCCCAATTCTTTTACCATTTTAAAATTACCTATAATCACTGTGCTTTTCAACAGCACCCTAGAGTGTCTTGCTACCTTGCTAATTTTAACATGGTACCTACTTATCAGCCTTTTTTCTCATCTATCTACTCAAAGCCCTTATCCTCTAGTACTTCCCAGTTGATCTACAGTGCGATGACATCAGAGTTTACTTTTATTTTTTCTGCATCAGAGAAATATGTAGCAATGTGTCTTTCTGTCTCACTTTGGACTATTTCACTAAACATAACATTAAGTTACATCTATTTTCTAATAAACAACAGGTTGTCAGGATTGTTAGAGCTACTTAATATTCTATTGTGTGTTGTACCCCATTTCCTTATCTATTCATTGTAATCTAAAATAAATTTCTCTAATATTAAACTCTATATTATTACTCGTACCCATCTCAAATGAGTTTTGTTTAATTGTTAATGTATAGATTTGTATTGAAAACTCCTGTTGTGTCAGGTTTTGTGGTAATTATGTCTTGAAGAGGAAAGAGGAGGACACACATGAG